TTGGCAAAGATACTGGAGTACCTTGGCAAAGATCCTTCTCTAGCTCATTTTACAGATGAAGAAACTGAGGCAAATAGGGTTAAGTGACTTGTCCAGTCACAGAGCTAGTAAGTGTCTGAGGCCAAATTTGAATTCAGGTCTTCTTGACTCCGGGCCTGGTTCTCTATCCACTGTGCCACCTAGCTGCCCCTTTGATATAATGGAAACCAGTTACTGCTAGTTACAGAACTAGTTCTCTTTTACCTCCCTCCTGTAGTCAAGTATTATTTTCCAATTCTTCACTCTGACCTTTCTAATATCAGCAAGATACTAGGTTTCTGTTTCCTTTGTTATTAATTTTACCGAAAAGAGCCAATCCCCTTTTTAATAATGTTACAGAAACACTGAACACTGTATGATAAAACCTTCCATTAGATTGAAGCTCCTTGAGGACAGGGGCTGCTTTTTGCTTCTTTTTGTAAAGTTACTGTTTATCAGAATGCCTGGCACATAGTAGGCACTTAATAAATGTTTAGTGAAGTGAAAATTGAATTTTAAAAATAGATCAAGTAGAGGTAAAGTAAGAATACTGGAAATATAGGGTGGGTCAGGTTTTGAAAGGCTTTGAATGTCAAAAAGGTTTCATATTTGATCCTGGCAGTGATAGGGAGCTAATGGAGTTTATTGTGTAGGAGTATGATAAGAGCACCTGGTGCTCTGTTATACCCAGGTAGTATGACCTGTACGAATTTGGCAAATGACTTAATTCGTCAGGGCTTCTAAGTTTGCCTATATGTAAAAGGAGAGAGCTAGAGTATAGTAAAGTATCTTTAAGAGCTATTCCAGCTTTAAATCAAATACTAAAAAGGAAACTTGATTTGTATAACTTAACATTTACAGAATTAAATAAATAATGGGACTCATGAATCATCTGAAGCCTGAGACTTATGGAATTTTTTGGATAGTTATTTCCCATTTTGGACAGGGCAATTCCTGATAGTGTGGTATTACAGTATAACTAAGGGGTTTTTAAATGTTTGAATAAAAAGAGAAGTAGAAAAATATTCTGGAAACAGCAAATAAAAAGAAAGGATAAGGGTGAAAAGTAAGGCAAAATGTGTATTACCAGTTCAATCATTTAAAAAAAAAGCTTTACCTAAATGATCTCTCTTTTGTTAGTAATCTTTAGTCCTACTTTCATGCCAAGAACTTTTCACTTTCCTGTAAATGCTTCTTACTTTCTAGTCCTCACTCCTGAAGTTGGGGCATTCACTTCAGGCAAATGGGCAAGGTTGAAAAATAAATAGAGAATCAGTCCTGGAATCAGGACAATCTGAGTTCAGATCTGGCCTTGGACACTTAACACCTTCCCTCCTTCCTCCTCCCTCCTACAACTCCCCACCCCCTGTTTGCCTCAGTTTCATCATCAGTGAAATGATGGTAATGATAGCACTTACCTGGGAAGGTTGTTGTGAAGATCAAATGGGATAATAATTTTTAAGAGCTTAGTACAGTGTCTGGTACATAGTAAGCATTATATAAAGTTAGCAGTATGTCCTCACCATTCCTCTTTCCTTCCTTCCTTTTCATTCATTTAACTATTCATCTATCTATCTTTCTATCCATCCTTCTTTAGAGCAAGACCTGTTTAATTTTTTGCTCTGCATTCCCAGTGCCTACCAGGATATCTTTGCACAAGAGACCTTGAATACATGTTTGTTTAATTGGTTTGAATACAAAGCACTTTCCTACTACATTTTGAAGTACTACAAGGCCACTGTGTTATCTTTTACCCCATTTTGGATGCCCTTTCAGACCGTGAATACCTTATATACTTTGTTCTCTTCATCTTTAAAAAGTGGGAGGCAGCAGTACAGTATGTGTCAATTCAATAGCTCTGTTGTGCTTTTTCTTTTCTATTAAGTTCCATTAAATACTTTAAATTGAAATTTTTATTATAGCTAGGATGACTATGTAATTGGTGTGTTTATCTGTTGATGCAATGTGAAGGTAATCCAAGAGAAGAAAAAATACACATAATGAATACATGCATAAAAGAAAGCAAGCATGATTTTAGGTTCAGTGAACAATGTCATTATAGTCTTTCCTGTACGTGGAATCCAGATCCACTTACATGTTCTGGGTCAACACAATAATAGAAAATGGCAAAATCCACATTAGACTCACAACCCCACAATTACATGCACCACTCCATATGTAGAAATTCAATTAATAGTTCCTTTAACTCAAACTACTTAAGCACATTTCCTAAGAATAAAATGAATGGGAAGTGATTTTCAATTTAACAAATTTGGCTTGGAGGAAAATTTTAGAGAGCAATTTCAAGGAAATTATAGAACATAGGTGTTCTACCCCCATAAAATGGAACTATGGAAATGATGAGATAAGTGGAATAAGTCTTATCAAGCTGTCCTTAGATTTACAACTGGAAAGAATCTGAAAGATCATTAAATCCAATCTCCCTATGTTTTAGAGGAGTGAACTGAGGCACAGAGAGGTGAAATAATTTGGCGATTTTGACATAACTACTAAGTTTTGTCAGTGAGATTTAAATCCAGGTCTTTCTGACTCCCAAACTTTATCAACTACACATGTTGCCTCTTTCTTTTGAGGGAAGGATAATATGTATAAGAAAAAATGAAATAAATAAATAACCTATTTCATACAATTGAACAAGTATTTGATGATCTTTTTGTCATATGCAAGGCCTTTACTAAGAACTGGAATTTGGTGGAAGAGATTTGAATTAATAATATATAGTTCCTGCCCTTAAGAATTTAGAATCAAAAGACCTGGATTCAAATTTCAGATTTATCTGGGTTCAAATACCAGATCTGCCATTCACTACATGATGTTGGACAAATCTCTTGAGAAATCTGGGACTCAAAGTCTTCCTTTGCAAAAGGAGGACTGTGAATTAGATGATCCCTAAAGTCTCTTCTAATGATAAATCCTATGATCCTATACACTATTGTTGCCTAAATAAGTCCCATAAGAAAGGGATGCATACAGTACAGAGTGAAGTTAGAGGAATGAATTCTAGGGTTAAATTTCCATAAGAAATATCATTTAGTTGGTTCATTCATTGCAGACAACTTATATGACTCTGAAGAACAGCTTGCAATACTATATTAAGCAGCCATAGCAAACAAAATCCACCAAAACTTTGGGTCCCATCCAATCTTGCCACAGTGGTTTAGACATTATTCATGCAAACGTCAGACAGAGCAGCCAGCATGCACAGCCAACAGACCATCAATATGCTTCAATGTTTCCAGAAATAAAAATGACGTTCAGTTATGTACCAAGAATACTTTTAAATAGTTTAGAAATTCCTGAGTATCTATGATATCTGTGAGAATTTAATTCCAACTATCCAAGATTGACTATGAAAAAAGATACACAGAAGAAAAATTGCTCCCTAGTTCTATTTCATCATTTTGGCTCCAGAGTAATATGAGTGTCAATTTCCCATTTGTGCCTTATCCACATAGCAAATTATTCATGCACACTGGGAGCCACTCCCCAGTTGAGAGATTTTTCCCCAAGTACCTCTTTAAATGCTTTCCTCACCACTCTCTTCACTCCCCTTCCACCACATCACAAAGCTCTTGGTGTTCCTTCTCTACCAAGCTCCTTACCACTGCCTGACTACAACTTCCTCTCAAAAACTGTTTACTGCTCATTCATTTCTCAGTCTAATATTGGCCAGATGTGGAATAAAGGAAGGATTGAAGAGGAGAGACCGTGTTATATTTTCCCCTTCTTTCAAATTCATCTCTGATGCACTATTAGGGACTTACAGCAATCTAACCATGGCAGGAATTACCAGGCCAAACAATGATTTTTGCTGTTAAGTGCCAGACATCAGTAAATCTGATTATTTGAAACTTATGAGACAGAGTAAAGAGATCCATTGGGTCGAGGAATTGTTATAACTACTGCTAGACAAACCAGTTCTCTCCATTTTTTTTTTATTTAAAAGAAAAAAACATTTTTCTGTATGTCGGTCAGTTGGAAAGTTTTTTTTTCTGAATGGCATAAGATATGGGATTTAAAAATGATTGTTATGAAGATAAGCATTAGAGGGTGCCAAGCAGAATTAATTGATCATTCCTATTTAAAGACTTTATGATGATAACATTCACTTTCATGACCTTATCTCTGGAATTCACCACCACTGTTAACGTTGGTAAAGAAAGTTCTGGGTATTTTCTGTTCTCTGTGTTAATGCCTTCTCCATGTTCAAGAGATAGGTTCTGGCTCTCTTCTGTGAAACATTTTATTTTTGTCTGTTGCTTAGACGAAGATATAGGTGTTAGGACTCTCGTTTGCTGATGATTCAGAGTGGGAAAGGAGAACTAAAATGTGGAATGACAGCATTGGTATTGAAAAAGTTCTCATGAGGCCAGAATGGCAGAATAAAGCTGATAAGCTGAAATTTAATGATGACATATAAAATAGCATGTCACAGTAGATAAGGGACCAAACTCTAGAGACACCTTCAAGTCCTGCCTCTGAAAAAAAATCTATCTACAAGTTCCAGGCAAGACTATAAGTCACAAAGAAGTTATTGATCCTCATTAATAAAAAGAGAGTAGAAGCTCCCTATGTTGATGAAATCACAAATCTGGACCAAAAAAAAAGCATCCAAGCCTATTGTTGGGTTCAAGAGAGATAACTAGATAAGACAAGATGGAGGAAGCACAGGTAGGAAGTGGCTCAAATGAAAAAAGATTTGGGGAATCTGTTGGACTACCAACCTAATATGAGTCAGAAGTGGGATATAGTAGCCAAAATGTTCATGTAGTCTGGGGCCACAATAATGTATAGATGGAAGCCATAGTCCTACTGTAATCTGGCCTACTCAGAATACATCTAGAGCCTTATGTTCACTTCTGGGTAACACATTCTAGGTAGAACATTGTCAAATTGCATCACAGCCAGAGAATAGTAACCAAGGTGATGAAAGGAAGTGAAACCATGTCATATGAGGAACAGTGTAAGGAATGTGAGATGTAGTAGTCTACAGAATGTTTGTTATTTTTTTACATGTGTTGGAGAAAAATGAAGGAGGGTAACAATCTTAAAATATTTCAAGTGCTGTCATGTAGGAAAGATTAAACTTGTTCCACTTGACCCAAGAAGTCATAACTAGAATCAGTGATGTTTGGAAATTACAAAAAATGAGAGATAATAATAATAATAATAATAGTAGCATTGATATAGCACTTTAAGTTTTTTCTTTGTTTTGTTTTTCCTTTCAGAATTGGGGTTAAGTGACTTTCCCAGGGTCACACAGCTAGTAAGTGTCAAGTGTCTAAGGCTTGATTTGAACTCAGGTCCTCCTGAATCCAGGGCCATGCTCTATCCACTGCACCGCCTAGCTGCCCCTAGCACTTTAAGTTTTGCAAACCACTTTATGAACATGATCTCATTTGATTCTCATAGCAACCCTGAAAGGGAGGTGCCATTATTATACCTATTTCACAAACGGGAAAAAAAAATTCTCAGTACTTTCTAATTCTAAGGGCTAAGTAATTTGTCCAGGGTCACAAAGCTAGTGAGGATCTGAGCTAGAATTCAGGCTCAGGTCTTCCTGACTCCAAGTATAGAACTGTGTCCACCCCAATACCTTGTTTCCTCAGAATTAGATTGTGGTTTAACACAAGAAAAAACTTCCTAATAATTGAGTTGTACAAAAGTAAAATGGTTCTCTTGAGAGATAGTTGAGTTGCTTGCCACATAGATCTCTAAATAGAGCCTGAATCATTAGGTTTGTGTGGTTTGTTTTAGACTGAATTCCTGAATTGGTTAAAGTTTTGACTAGATTATCTCAACTTTTCTAGCACTGATAAGAAATACTATTGCTGCATGGACTTCAGTATTGAAACAATGGAAAGCCTAAAGATTTTGTAGGAAAACTTCAAAAAGGAAAATCACGAACAAAGGAATAGGTGAGTTGATTATACTATTTTAATCTGATACTCCATATTAATCATACTGAAGAATGCTTGATCTAGTCAGAAATAGAAAGAGAATATGAAATATTGAAGGCTAAAGCAATTTCATAAGTAGAAATCTGAGTATTTATGAAATAGAATAATCTAATGGAAAAAGCAGTGATCTAGCTCTCAGGACTCTAGGGTTCTAGGCCTGTGGTCACTTGCTACATACTCACTATGGGACTTTAGACATGCCCCTTAACCCCTATTAATATCAAAGACTCTTCATTATGCATAATAGAAGAGATCAAATTTTTTAATTAATCAAACAACATTTATTAAACTACTATGTGCTAGGTATTTTGTTAAGTATTGAAGACACAGAAAAGTGAGACCAGAAGGAAAAGTTGTAGCTAAATGGTAAGATGACTCATGCTTTCTTCAATATGAGAATTGGGAGGCATAAGATATAAGGAGTACTGAATATCACATTCACACACACACACACACACACACACACATAATGAAATTGAGTATATTCTAATGGACCAGAAATGATTAGAAACTTATATAAGAAAAATTTGTCAAATCAAATCTTTGTGTATAATTGGACCATCAGCCAGATAGAATATAGATCAAATCAATACCAAATGAGAAGAAAAATAAAAAGAAAAAAAAATTCATAGGGCAAATCCAAACTGACCTATTTAAATTAATTACTTATATCAAAAATAAGAAAAAATGGGAAACTGTTTACCAAAAAAGACCTCGACGTAGACTACCACTAATTCCTAATATTTTGCTTCAGTGTTGCTTTACAATTGAGGGAGGGGAGAGTGAAAGAAGATGAGTATAACCTTTACTTGTGGTTTTAAAGGTCATTCAGGTACATAATACATACTCACATATTCCAGAAGATTCATGAACTTATTGATGATGATATCCTTCCAGCTATATATATCTTCCTAAGAAGGACATTCTAGAAAAAAAAAGATGAATCAGAGACATGTCTTTAGATGTGATCAGACTTCTGAGACTATAATATAATAATATTACTAATGATGTAACATGCTAATTTAAAGGATGATGGAGAAGCCTCCAAATTATCAAAACATACGATACGTGCAATATGGAGAGTCATTTAAATATCATTGAATAATATCAAAATGTTGCATAAATAAAGCTAAGAATGAGCACAGACACATTGTTCTCATGATTCACAAATGCAAGAAGTTAACAGAATATTGAAAGAATTATATGTTATTTGCTCTTAGCTTTAAAGTTTTCTTCTAGAATAGAAAGAAATCTTGTTTTGACTTAATTTTAACAGGAAATCCACAATTTACTTGTGTAATTGTATTAAAACCCCACATATAACCTTCTGCTAAACCTCACATTTTACTTAACCAATCTCATACACAAACATATTTACTGCTATACTGTTTATTTGTTTGTTTGTTTTCCCTTCATTCCTTTAAGAACTTTTCAAAGGCAACAGAAAAGGGAGAGAAGGAGTGAGGATGGGGAAGCAGAAAGGAAAAGAATGCATTACCATTATAATGAGCTTATCTGACCTTGCATTCCTAACATAAACATACAGCTTTTTTTTTTCTGTGTATATATGGTTCCACCTTTGTCTGATGAGGTCTAAATGGAACAGAGACCCATGAAAAATACATGGCTCAGCTCATAAGAGAAAAGTATCATTGTTCATTAACCAACAAAAACAAAGACATTTTTGAGGTAGAACCACATCACCTTCATTTTCTTAATAGTCAGTTGCAAGGCTTTTTAACGCCACATTTTTCATTACTTATTCAAGAAAATGCAAGCTCAGCACATATTTGGTAACTACAGCCTCTGAAATGCAGTGTGCAAAAGAAGTAATGTAGTTGTACAGTCTACATCTTATTTCTCTTTTTTAAAGTCACTACATAAAACGAGTGGGAATTAAAAATCATTTAAATCATTATTCTAGTTTTCTTCTCAAAGAAAAATTGAAGGGAAGTTAAAGTTGGGAAATTTGGATTATCTGATATGAACATTTTTGCTCCTTGATGCCATTTGGACCTGTGTTGGGGAATTGGAGCAAAGATTTGATGGCTTAATATAAAAAGCAGCAATTTTGAAGCATTTGGCTGGATTTCCCATTTCCCCTACAAAAACACCATATCAGTCTTTTGACTTGTGAAAAAAGACATCCATTCAAGTACACCCACAATTTGAAAAACATACCATTGAGGATGAGGTGTATTGGCAAGTCCTCTTTCCTCAATAAATTACATCTTGAAATTCCTAACATGCAGAAAGGACATTTTATCATGTTATAGATCATACCTTATGGAAGAAATATACTTCTCCCAAGAAGGTAACATTTTCTCACAATTGAGAAACAAAACCAATGACAGTTCTAACAAGTACGTACACTTTCTGCTCCAAAGTTTACAGCATGATTAGTTTATGCTGATAAAAGGCCTATATCAGTAAGTAATGCCAGGTTTCTCATTTGGGGGCAGGGATAGAGGTGAGGTTCAGAAGGTTGGTCTTCCATTTACAATAGAATCCAAGCCAGACTGCAAAATGCCTTTCTCATTCATATTTCACTCACTTTAGCAGATCTTGATGTAGCTCTATTTTTGGCCATGAGGGGATTTGAGGCTTCTATCAAGTTTGTAGCTTTTCCTTCTTTCTTAACCTTTTTGTCACCACTTCCTACAATTGTAAATGCCACCTGACAGTCTTTCAGACCTAGTTTCTCCAACTCTTCTAACAGTAGCCCCCAAATAAAAAAAGCAAAAGGAATCCTGTCTCCTTGGTATATAATGACCCTTTTTTCCCAGGTATCTGGGGTTGAATTGTTTGACATTTTTACAATGGATATAGATTGTTGTCAAAATACATTGTACATACTCAGAAAGAAGAGTGAAGGGAGACACAGATGAGAGAGACAAGGCAGGATCAGGAGAAATAAATTAAGCCTCTGTATTTGATTCTTAAGCCAAAAACAAGAGGGTAGCCTTTCTCTTGGTATACAGGTTACCTCAGTCAAAAAAAAAAGACATGAAAGTGAAAACTGAATAATATGAAGGGAAGGTCAAAAAAGTTCAAATAAAATTCCCAATTGCCTACTGCCCTTTTGATTAGTTACACTCATTTAAACTAATTTTACCCTAAAGGAATGTCTCCTTCAAAAATTAAAAACAAATGTTCTTAATACTTTGTCAAAAATAAGAAAATATTTTTAATTCGTTTTTTCTTTTGACAGCTCCTTCTCCTTGCATGACAAATTGGGAAAATGTGAATGAAAGAAAGCGTCTTTCTATGAAATGAGATGTTCTTATCACATCAGAACTCTTTAAAAAATGGAACTAATAAGCTTTTATATTTGGAGAACCATAAACAGCAATGTCTCTAGTAACTTCCTATATGAAACTTTGGGTGACTGACTACAACCAGATCACTTTTCATCTAATTTCCAAAATTAAAACAAACAAAAATAGTGAAGGAAATAAAAAAAGAAAGAAAGCAAATGAAAATTGGGAAGGGCAATTAAATTTGAATCATAAGACCTAGGTTTTAATTCTGCCTCAGACACTTACTAGCTATATGATCACTGACAATTCTATTAACCTCCTAATGCCTTGGTTTCCTCATTTATAAAATGGAGATAATCATAATTATACTTTCTACTTCACAGGTTTGTTATTAGGAAAGTTTTATAAACCTTAAAATGTTCCATAATGTGAACTATTATCATTAGTTAACACAGAAAATCTTAGTGGATAATTTTTTTTGTGGGGAGAGAGGGTAGATCTGTGATACCATCAATAGAGGGGACGACAAGTCCTTCTGCAGGTGCAGATCAGAAAGTGGTCTACAGCCTGTAGTCTTAGAGAGTTGCTTGGGTCCAAGAGGTTGAGTTGTCAGTGATCACAGAGCTAGTAAATGTCTGAAGAACACAAATTTCTTTATATACATTTCTTGAGATAACCATTGGGAATCCTTTGTTGTTGTTGTTGGGTTGTTTGTATGTATGTTTTAATGTGTTAAAAACAAGGTCAGTTTGTCCTTGAATATGACTGCTTGTGTTACTGGTGTCTGTCCTGAGAATAGATGAGTGAGAAAAAATCCTTCTAAGTTTCTATGCAGAGCCATGAATAGGAAATCTGACACTTTGGGAAAATTCTGTTGAATTTTCATCCCTTACAGGTAGGGAGGGGAAATGACCCTAGGATGAGACTGATTGGCACAGGGCAGGCAGAGAATTTTGAGGTTGAAGATGACTAGATAAAGGAATGATAAGTATTAACATTCAGTGACTTCTGGTTGTCAGTCAGGGAAAAAAATCCTATGGTTCCTCCTTAGTTATAGTTGTGGCTAGAGTGACCTGAAGAGAAATGGCAAAGGGATGTAATTCTGAGGAGATTATGTCATCTTTTATTGCAGAATTTATGTCAATGAGTAGTTCTTAAAGTGACTAGTCAGAACTCCATATTAGTGAGAACTGTCAATAAAACTCTCATTTAGCCAAGGATTTAAAATATATGCTTTATTTGTTAGAAGTTTTAAAAGATTGCTTCAATGTTAGCTTTTTATTGATTGACATTTAAATGTTTATATAGACAAACATATTGCTTAATAATACAATTGATACTACGGAAAGATTGGCTTATGAGCAGATATTAAAAATGAAAATACCTCTGAGAATCCCAAGGATCAAAGTGATATTTCAATTCAGTAGCCCAAAATGAGTTAATACAACTCCATAAATATTCATCAGGTGCCTACTATGTGCAGAATAATCTGCTGAGTATTGAGAATACAAAGACAAAAAATAGGACAGTCTGCACTCTCAAGGAGTTTACATTCTAATGGGTAAGGAAAAAGACTTCTGGGTAAGACAATAAAATAGGAAAGGGGCTCTCTTAGGTGTTCTAGATTCTGCCCATTTGACCCTGAGGAGCCCCTCAGGTTTTTATTAGGTTGCATAGTGTTACTAGGGAACACCCTTGTGTAGCTTTTAGTCATGAAAACCTAGAAACATAAAAGCCTGCTTGGAGGAAACTTTGATAAATGGTATCAAGAAAGGATGATAGTTCTTCAGATTTGATGAACTGCTAATTTCCTAAGAAGCTATTGTGTTTTTTATCAAACACTGGAGAGCTATACCTGTATATCCTTGATGAATCACGTTTGTCTTTTAGTATTTAGTAAAGGGGTTGTTATTGTTGTTATTGTTAGCCTCATTGATCGAATCATTCCACATCTGTGTGATGTATTAAAAGTTTGTGAGACATGATTTCTGCATAATTAATCAATTTTTAAATTATGGCTAGCAAATAATTAATAAAATGATGGTTATTTGGCTGCCTCTGATAAACCATAAACCCCTCCTGGAGGCCTTTCGATGCTTATATAAACTTTGGGAGAGTGAGTGTTCCCAACAGATAACAATCAACTCTGATAGATTAACAATCAATGAGAAAATGAATATTATAATGAGAGGTGGTCTGTTCTAATGAGGGGCTGGGAGAATGTGACTTGGATTATATCACTCTTATTCCCAGACTACCCCAAACCTTGGGCAATCTAGACTAAGGATTTATCCCTGAACACAATGGGCTGGAAATAAGATTCTTTTTACTCTTTAATCAGAACTAAACTTCCCCAGTTGGTGGGGTCTGAACTAGATTGAGGAGAATGTTAAATCCAATCTCACTATCAGTCCTATTCTTCAGAACCTGATTTGACCTAGTAGAGAATGAGGAACAGGAAGGCAAAAAATCCTGGATCTTTCCAATGTTTGTTAACAATTGGTTATTTAATAATCATTTCTCTCATCTGAAATGTGCTTTGAGGACCAGCATGCACCTGACCTAAAATAGTACTGAAGGAGAAAAAGGAGAGAATCAACAAGATGTTCCAGAAATATTTGAGAAGTAAAAACTTGCTTGTAACAGAGAGAATCAAGGAAGACTTCAATGACAAGGTCATACTTGAGCTAGGCTCTTAAAGAAAACAATTTACTAACTGAAGGTAAAGAAAGAGTGCATTCCAGGGATGAGATGTGGGGTACAGGCTTGTGAAAGTATCCTAAAGTGTTCTTTTTTAAATGCAAAGAGACTAGAAATAGCACATTGAATTCCAGGAACAACTAATAATTCAATTTTGATGGAATATAAGCTGTATGAAAGGAAATAATGTGAAATAAAGCTTGAAAATTAAGTTAAAATCAGATTGTGTAGTCTCTTAATTATAATACTTAGGAGTTTGCATTTTATGGTACAATTGAAAGTTTTTGAACAGGGAAGTAACCTGGGCAAACCTGAGCTATAGAAAGGTTATTTTGGCATCTGTGAGTAAATATGCAACTTATTCAGTCATTTTCAGTTAGGTTCTACTCTTTGTGAATCCACTTGGAGTTTTCTTGGCAGAGCTACCTGAGTGGTTTCCCATTTCCTTCTCCAATGAGGAAACTGAGGCAAACAGCACTAAATGACTTGCGAAGGGTCACATAGCTAATAAGTGTCTGAAACCAGATTTGAACTCAGGAAGATGAGTTTTCCTGACTCTAGGCCCAGCTGTCTATCCACTATTCCCTGGCCATAGTTTAAAAAAAAAATTGGAAGTCACTTAAAGGAAAACAAGAAACATGCCTAGGAAAAACTGATGATTATCTATCCTTTTTGTTAGCTATTAGTGGACATTCATGAAAAATGACATAGGTAACCACTGCTTGCATTCACCTAACTTGATATGGTGAGTGGGAGGAGAAGGTGGGGGTACAATGGCAAGAGTCATTTTGGTGGAGACAGATGTCCCTTTTCTTAGGTTACTGGAAAAAGTGTTTAGAAACTGAAGGGGTTTTTTTGTTTGTTTTTCTGATTTATCTAGAAGAGTTTTAGGCATATAAGAAATATAAATTTGAATTATGAACCAGGAGGTAGTCAGGCCTGTCATTTCATCATATTTTTATTATTTAAGCATATCCAGTTCAGTCATTATCCCAAGTCAGAGATGAAAAGGGTACTATCAGAATATTTTTAAGTATATTATTATCACCTTTATTTTCCAGCCTTACACATTATTGTGATGGTACACTTTTTATTATCTTCTAACTATTTCCTGCCTGAGAAAATAGACCCTCTTTTTGGACATCTTCAAATATTTGATAGACAAAACAGGGAAAGTAGTGGATAATTCATTTTAAAAGTCTTTAGCCATTAACTGATAGTCACTATGTTATTCATGGAAATTATGATCTCCTGGTATTCATTTTAAATGAGATTCAAGTCATTTCCACTTTTTATTTCTAACCACAGAAGAGAAAGAAGAAAAACAAGCAGGTCAGGGTTCAGATTGTTTTATATATACAAGTTTTACAGTTAGAAGCCATATCTAACATGTTTTGTCATTTTTATATTTACTGCAAAACCTTTTTTTTTTGTAACTTCAAACCAATTTTGAAATTTTCTGTACAATAGGGCATATCTTTGTTCATCACCAGAACTGCAATTTTAACTTCCTTTTGTTTCCCCTTTTATAATTCCTGTGTTACTATCAGACTTTGGGAAGAGGCCCAGTGGTTTATTTATCTTACACAATGTGATTCATGTACAAGGAAATACTGTAGCTTGGTCCCTGAAGACCATATTATAGAAAAGCTTCAGCTTACCACTTTACCAAAGTGTTACAATACACTGGCTTACTGGGACTATTTACTACATGTATTTTAATGGAAGTATGTTAGTTCAGGACACTGAGAAATTCAGGGCGGGAACAAAAACAGGAAGGAAGGAAGGAAGCAAGGAAGGAAGGAAGCAAGGAAGGAAGGAAAGATGATCCCTTTGGTGAACAGATGATCCTATAAAAACAGTTTTACAGTACCAATAACCACTTCTGTTGATGGTGTTTAAAGTCCCAGGTTATCCTTCCTTTTCCCATTCAAGTATTCAAAGCAGTTCTGAGAGAGATCATTTGCAATCCAGTGCATCCAATCACAAGGCATTTGAATGGCATGTCGCTGGTTTACAGAAGGATTCAATATTCATTTGTTTTAAGAGCATTATCCAGTGAATGCTGCGACTTCATAACAGATGAATTAATGATTTATGCTTGGACTATATACAAATAAAATATTCATCCATTAATGATAAACCATTCTGTCTGCTATTCCAGGAAAAAAAATAAAAGCTCCTTCTCATTTTTCTCTGCCAGTGGCCAACTCTGAAGATTTCAGGGGAGAATGTAAAACCTTAATGATGTACTGTATATGTTTGTGAAAGACAACAAATGAAGGGAAACCTTTCCTGACCTGAGCCACTGATCAGTTTATACCATTAGCAAAGGATTGATGGTTCTTGTAATTTTATACCAAGTAAAACCGTACTTATTCAAATAAATGGCTAGTCATTTTTCTAAAACTGCTTCTTAATAGCCTGCAGACCACAATACGGCTTTAGAAGTATCTCTTAATAGTAATAAGAGGCAGT